GGAGAGGATTGCCGGGTAGGATTATGCTATGCGATGTTACTTGGGGATGCTACTTGAAGATGCTACTTGGAGGACGTCGACCTACCTTCTTCTGCCTGTTGCAAGACGGAGGCTGCCAGAAGCGTAGTCTTCGATAGGACTAGCTATCCCCCTCTTATTCTGGCTTTCTGCAGTTCAGTCCACCGATATGGCCTCCTTACACATATACCCATGCATATGTAGTGTAGTTCCTTGCTTGCGAGTACTTTGGATGAGTACTCACGGTTGCTTTCTCCCCCCTTTTTCCCCCTTTCCTTTCTTTTGGTTGTCGCAACCAGATACTGGAGTCCAGGAGCCAGACGCCACCGTCAATGACGACCCCTACTACACTGGAGGTGCCTACTACTACGTGCTGCCCGCTGAGGACGACCTGGAGTAGTTTAGGAGGATCCCAGGCAGGAGGCCTGCGCCTCTTTCGATCTGTATCCCAGTTTGTGCTAGCCATCTTATGTCAACTTGTTTAATATATGTCTGTACTCAGATATTGTTGCTTCCGCTGACTCGTCTATGATCGAGCACTTGTATTCGAGCCCTCGAGGCCCCTGGCTTGTATTATGATGCTTGTATGACTTATTTTATTTGTAGAGTTGTGTTGTGATATCTTCCCGTGAGTCCCTGATCTTGATCGTACACATTTGCGTGCATGATTAGTGTACGATTGAATCGGGGGCGTCACAGCCCGCTCGGCGACGGAAGGCGCAGGAGAGTCGCCCGGCCGCGACGCCTCCAGGCGGGCGCTGCGGCGAGAGGACGTCACTGGCGTCGAGGTGGAGCAGGGCCTCCTGGAGTACGCCACCGTCGAAGGAGGGTGCGCGGAGGCCGGGGAGGAGACGTCCACTGCCACCGAGGCGTCAGGAGAGGCCGGCGAGGCGAGGTGGGAGCTGGACGGCACCGCCGCGAGGTGAGGATCGGCCGACCCCAGCGCCGCCCCGACCGCGGCCCCCGAGGGTGGAGGAGATGGGGCAGACGGGGCAAGGGCGAAGGGCTCCTCAACACCACCAACCCCGGAAGACACCGGGGAAGGTGAGTCGGCGGAGGGCGTGGGCGCAGCCCCTGGTGGCGTGAGGCGGCGGGCAGAGGCGGCGTCGGGGGAGCGGGGTGACGATGGAGGGGCGACGAGGAGACTCACGCTGGAGATGACGCCGGTCGACGCCGACGAAGACGGGGAGGGAACCAGAGGGGTGGCCAGGCGGAGGGCCACCGCGAGATCGGTGGCCGACACCCGGGTATGCGCTGCCCCCGACCCGCCCCGACCCGCAGGAGGGTTGGGGGGTCCCGAGACGGGGAG